TTCAACTTCTTCTTCCCTGTGTCCTGGCAGTCTAAGGACCAGTGACGTCATTACAGCTAATGCAGTTCATTACACATGAGGATGCTGAGGGATCACAGCTAGAGCAGAGGGGTAGAGAGGTAATCATAACAAGATCAGAGGGGTAGAGAGGTGACCACAGCTAGAACAGAGGAGTAGAGAGGTGATCAGAGCTAGATCAGAGGGGTAGAGAGGTGACCACAGCTAGAACAGAGGAGTAGAGAGGTGATCAGAGCTAGATCAGAGGGGTAGAGAGGTGACCACAGCTAGAGCAGAGGAGTAGAGAGGTGGCTAGAGCAGAGGGTTGGAGATGTAACCACAGCTAGAGCAGAGGAGTAGAGAGGTGGCTAGAGCAGAGGGTTAGATATGTAACCACAGCTAGATCAGAGGGGCAGAGCAGGGCATCGAAAAGCAGCACAAGAAGCCAATGTAGTGAGAAGAGCATGCTGATAAGAAGCGAGAGCAGAGTGACATGAGAGCTCATTGAGAGATGAGCTCATTGGTCTGCTGCTTCTCCTTTCATTGTTCATTTACAGGGTGGGAGTGGGCAGGAGACCTGTAAGTATTACTTAACTGCAACAGAGAAAAATCAGATCTCCTTCCCTGCCGAAAAGAGAGCCAGATAGTGTGGGAGAGCTGTGTAAATCTGAGAACCGGATAGACAGGAATACAAATTATTTTGCTGGTTTAACCAGTTGACATCCGCGGTGTTAAACCCCCTTCCCATCCAGGCCATTTTTCAGTATTCAGCGCTGCGGTACTTTAACTGACATTTATTCCGTCATGCAGCGCTGTACTGAAATGAATTTTATACCCTTTTTTGGGGACAGATAGAGCTTTCTTTTGGTGGTATTTATTCACCACTGGGGGTTTTATTTTTTTACTATATTAAGGAAAAATTACCGAAATTTAAAAAAAAAAACAGTTTCCCCTATATTAAATGATAAAACATTTATTATTACCCAATTTTTTGGTAAAATATAAAAGATGGGGTCACGTCGGGTAAAAAGACACTAAACATGTCAAGCCTTAAAATTGCGTGCGCGCGCGAAACCTCAAAAAACGATAATACCCAAAATTGGCCCTAGGCGACGCTTTAAAAGCTGTTACCGCTCATCAGTTTAGTGTTATCAGTGATTGATGGCCCTAAAATGATTGCTCTCACTGCGACGTTCGCGGCGATATGTAACATGTGTAGCGCAATTGTAATTTTTGCGCGCTGGGGCACCGGACGCGTATTTACGTTTATAGGCGCGTAAACGTGGGGGTGGGGGAGTTAAACATTTTGGGGGGGTTTTTTCCCCTTTTTTTATATGTGACTTTTATTTTATTTTACTTTTTTATGTGTTACTTTTATTTTTATTTATTTATATTTATTTTTTTTTGCACTTATTGTTATTGCTATTATATAGGGGATAACAATCCCCCTATATAAAAGCAAAGGCACACTGACAGGTCCTCTTTATGGAGATATTAGGGGTCTCTAGGCCGCGAACGAGCACATATAGGCGATCGGCGGGCTATGGACCCGCTGATCGCCTATATGTGTAACACCCGGTAACGGGTGTGTGCACTGATCGGGTCTTTTCTGCTCTGCAGATGCAGCAGTGCCGTCCGTTCGTTTTTTTACTACGGGCGGACGGCAAGAGGTTAACAGCTCCCTTATATGCAGTGGTGTAAGAATAGCCATAGCAAGCCCATGCAGCTGCTATGGGGCCTGGGGATGAAATGACTCCCCATTAAGGACTGACCCTGTACCCCCTGTGACATTTCCAATCAAGAAGAACTGATGTCAAACGTACAGGAGGAGGGCCCTCCTTACCATCTTGTCTTGATTTGTATTGTGATTGTAATGTCTTCCTTATATTGTAAAGCGCTGTGCAAACCGTTGGCGCTATATAAATCCTATATGATAATAATAATAATAATAACAATGCAGACAGCTCTCCTGCTCCCTGACTATAATATAATTGCCAGTAGTAAGGTCGCCGAGTACCCCATTAAAATTTTGCATTGGGGCCCCATGATCTACAGTTACGCCCCTGCTTATAGGTTTTCAAGAAGTTCAAAGCAATGTTGAAGATTCATGAAAACAATAGTGGAGGAAATAAAGAAAGCGGAGCCAATATTGTGCAGGCTGAGAGTGTGAAAACTGGAGACGGAACAATGGCGGGATTTGAGAGCGCCTGCTTTTGTTTTCATTCATATCACAGAATATGTCTCTATAAAGAACTCAAAACTCCTACGAAACGCGACAATGGGATGTATTATTGCGGAGCGCGCATTATTCATTTCAGAGGGTTTCACTTGGCGAAAACGCATTTGTTTTCACTGACAATTCATTTTCCTTTAGAATGTTTTGCATCCTTGGAAAAAAAAAAGGAAAGAAAAGAGGAAAAGAAATTCAATGTCATTCTACAACTTCATAAGAAGCCGTCATAGAAATCTGTGAGAAGTTTGCCGTACTTTTCACAGAAATAGTTGTGGCTCTGCAGGCACTTAAAGCCAAACTCTCATATTTATGATTCTTGTCAGTGGGATTGGAATGTTGGAGCTGAATGCGGCCTGTCATTTGTTGCGAGGTTCCGCCGTTCTCATTGGCCTCGGATTCCGTTCGGCAGTCTGTGCCGCCAGCAGAAGCAGCAAGTGCGCTAAGACATTCCACCTCGGGGCTTGTACACAAGATCCCGGGTATAAAGCATGTCCAAATTCTCAGCAGTCTCCCTTGTACATATGGGAGGCATGGGGTGGAGGCATCTGTTCTGTTCAAACTCTTTTATTCTAGAAATGGATGGCTTCATTCAGGGGTAGAACTTTGTCAGATAACTTTTTAATATACAAGAATAGAACAAGTGTAAAACTAAAAGTTAGTTAGAACTTGAAGTTGTAACAATTATTTAATGGATAGATGGAGAAGGGATAGATGAAAGTATATAGTTACATAGACAGACATGATGCATAGATACAAGATAGATGGATGGATGGATGGATAGATAGATAGATAGATAGATAGATAGATAGATAGATAAAAGAATGTTTTATTTTACATTAATTAGAGTATAAAATAAAAAGATAAAATGTGTTACAATTATTTTATGGATAGACAGACATGCATTTGTGAAAATAATAAAAACTAATATTAATGGATAGATACACTATATTGCCAAAAGTATTGGGACGCCTGACTTTTCACGCAAATAAACTTTAATGGCTGGGATGCCATTAAAGTTCTTAGTCCGTAGGGTTCAATATTGAGTTGGCCCACCCTTTGCAGCTTCAACTCTTCTGGGAAGGCATCCACAAGGTTTAGGAGTGTGTCTATGACCTCAACCCGATAGAAAGTCTTCTATCGGGTTGAGGTCAGGACTCTGTGCAAGTTCCTCCACCCCAAACTCCCCCATCTATGTCTTTATGGACCTTGCTTTATGCACTGGTGCGCAGTCATGCTGGAACAGGAAGGGGCCATCCCCAAACTGTTCCCACAAAGTTGGGACCATGAAATTGTCCAAAATGTCTTGGTATGCTGATGCCTTAAGAGTTCCCTTCACTGGAACTAAGGGGCCAAACCCCACCTCTGAAAAACAACCCCGCACCATAATCCTCCCTCCACCAAACTTTACACTTGCCACAATGCAGTCAGGCAAGTACCGTTCTCCTGGCAGCTGCCAAATCCATGCACGTCCATCGGATTGCCAGACAGAGAAGCATGATTTGTCACCTCAGAGAGCACGTCTCCACTTCTCTAGAGTCCAGTGGCGGCGTGCTTTACACCACTGCACCAGACGCTTTGCATTGCACTTGGTGATGTAAGGTCTGGATGGAGCTGCTCGGCCATGGAAACCCATTCCATGAAGCTCTCTATGCACTGTTGTTGTGCCAATCTGAAGGCCACATGAAGTCTGGAGGTCTGTAGCTATTGACTCTGCAGACAATTGGCGACTTATGCGCACTGTCATCATGCGCTGAGCCCGCTCTGTCATGTGTGGCTGAGTTGCTGTTGTTCCCAGTTACTTCCATAAGCAATAGATTGGGCTCTAGATGCGTTCTAATAGACGTTTCCGCTGTCAGTGACAGATCTTTGACTTTATATTATTGGAGAATACAACCAAAAGAGTGGGAACACCCGGGAACACGCCAGTTCTGGCAGGAGTAAGTCAAGTCAGTGGAAACTGAGCAGGCAGATGACAAGACATGTAATAGGCCGGCAGGTGACTCAGCTCTTCAGGCCGATGGCTATTATATGTTTTTCTACAAGCGGTCTGACCCTTTAAGTGATCATTTAGTTTTAATAAGCAGTAGTTGCAATGTCTGCCTTTCTGTCCCCATTAACCAACGGGCTAAAATAAACCAGATGTCTCGTCTCACAATTAATTATCAATGAACGTCACAGCGGCCGCGGCACTGATTAAATATATACGGTGGTGCGCGGGCCGTTAATGACCACGTTGCGGTGATAACGAAATAGAGCCATTACCGTATTATAGAGCTGAATACCCCTTCGTTATACTAAGGAAGTCGATCCATACCGTAATTATATTTACTACATTTACCCGGGGTTCTATCACGGACGCCTTTGTCTCTCGACGCCAGCGTTGCGGTTAATCTAGTGGTTTACAGTTCCTCTATAAAAGACAGCCAAAGACTAATTGGTTTAGGATTTATTATTTTCTAAATGAAAACAGCAGGAAGTGCCGCACGTCGCTCTCTGAACTTTTTTCGCCTTTCAAAGAGCGAACTTTCATTTTCCAATAATTACACAGCTATATGGTGAAGGAAATAAGAGTCGCCCCCATCCTCGTCCCCCCGCTCATTATACTCAGTGGGCATGCTGGGATTTCATATCAATTATCATATAGAGCTCACCTATATATAAGGCTTCTCATGCAGCCTGTTCCGTGTATATATAATCCTCCCTTTTTGACATTTCAGGTACTATTTGTAGAAGAAGGACTGAACAGGGAGGCAGTTTCCGCGAGCCGGCGGTGGCGAGGATGTCACGGCACAGCCGTTTCGAAAGGGACTTCTGCGGTGGCTGGGAGAGGTGGGAGTGGAGTTCCAACGGCAACCACATGAACACGAGCAACGTCAACAGCGCAATCAATGGAAATGGCAACAACCGGCCTGGACTACTGCCTCTGCCCATTGTACCATCTCGTCTTCCTACGCCGACATCTACCACCTCTACGACGGTCGGCAGCGATGCGGTGACCAGCATTGCCAGCAATCCAGCTGCTGCTTCTGCGTCCAAAGTAAGAATTGTTGAAGTACTGAACTACTGAAATTGTTTTTAAAGTGCAAATGAAGCCAAAACGTTTTAGTTTTTTTTAGTTTTCGATACAGTGGAGAGGGATTTGATGCCCTATAAGGATTTTATTGCTGTTTGTGTTCACCTTCCCTATTCGTTCTAGTGACCAATTTCAATGCAAGTGAAAGAAAAACCCAACTTTTTGGTTGCCACCAGAGCAGGAGTAGATGGGAAATCTTCCAATGGGGGCACTAACTAGTCCTCGGCATCTTGCTGACCAACAGTGTTTTCCCTCACTTTGGTTGAATTTTCCCTCACTTCCTATAGTGGTTATTCAACAGGAAGTGGAGGGAAATCTCCCGAAAAGTTATAGGAGAAAGTCCAATGTTTTAAGAGCTTTTCGGGGGAAGTTTGGTGTCGTGTGCTGGTGTGCGAGGTATCTGACGCCTGTGCTTTTGTTTCTGAAGGGAAATCTACCCAATGGGACACAGATGTCAAACATAAAGCTGTAAACTTGTAGAATCCGGCACTCAAAATGGACTCTGTCCATTAATGTCAGTTTGTTTAAAAAGAAAAACAATCAAAAACAAGTAGCTGACGTGTTTCAGCCCCTCAACTTGGCCTTAGTCATAGCTATGACTAAGGCCGAGTTGAGGGGCTGAAACTGGTCAGCTGCTTGTTGTTGACATAAACTGACATTAATGGATGGACCCCGTTTCGAGAGCTGATTTCTACAAGTTTATGAACTTAAGGCTTAGGTGGGAGCCTCAACGGGCTCTGAGGTTTCAGCAGCAAGAGTAGATGTGTGAGGGTTGAGCTCCATATTGTCCTACTATAAAAAAAAAACATCCAATACTCTATCCAAAACTGATAAAAAATGTGTTGACTTCAGTTCTGCTTTAAGTCTCTTTATGCGCTCAAGACAAAGTAGCAGGGTTTCTTTAATGTCCACCTCTGACTCCCTTATACTGAACTTCGGGATGCTCCCTCCTTCTTTCCATCACAGCAGTCTCAACATTTCCTGTGTAAGCTTCGTGCTGATTTGGGCTTACACAGGGGCGATAATACCACCCACTCGAGAACTGTTCTTGAGCCTAGTGATTGGCCAAACATGTTCCCCCATACCAGGAAGCACTGGTTAGTTGGGAGTGGTTGTGTCAGATATGGGAGCGTCAATGGATCGCTGTCAAGTTGAGTAAAAGTGGGTCAGAAGTTTGCATTAAAGAGACCCCATCATTTTGTCCTGGATGGCACAGTTTGCTTAAGAATGATTCAGCCTAAAAAACTCATATTGAAGTTACACTATATGTGGATCCTGGTAGGCTAACTCACTGACTACCTTTGTATGCCACATTGGGTCTACTAAAGCAGGTCTTTTTTAATGTGGTTATCAGCTTATAGTGAAATTACCTTGGAATAGCCAAGAAATGTTGTCGGAGCTGGAAAACAAAGGGGTGGAAAATGACTCTACGGCCTCCAAGTGATAGAAGCACCCAGGAGATGATGAAGCCTACCAGCATTTACCTAAAAGTGAAATTAAGAACTTTCAGAGGACGTACCCTCTAGTGTTGGCTTGTTCTGTATTTGGAAAATCAAGCTTTGTGATCAGTTGCCTTTTAAATGCTGCCTTTACCTTTACACCGATTTTCTTATTACAATGGCATCTGGAAGGGGGAGGGAGGGGGGGTATATTAGTCAGCAAGTGAACTTTTTGTCCCCGAAGTTAATGTGTCGGATGCAGAAAATGGGCAAACATAAGTATTTGAGCGACTTTGACAAGGCAAAAATAGTGATGGCTAGACGACTGGGTCAGAGAAACTCCAAAGCTGCAGATCTTGTGGAATGTTCCTGGTCTGCAGTGTTCAGGACCTACCAAAAGTGGTCCAAAGAAGGAACAGTGGTAACAGGGTAATGGGCGGCCAAGGCTCACTGATGAACGTTGGGAGCAAAGGCTGGCCCGTGTAGTCCGATTCTGTAGCAGAGCTACTGGTTTGTTGCCTTGACGGGTCAGAGCTGTTTTTGCCACAAAAGGGGGACCTACTCAACATTAGTCTGGTGGTCATAATATTATGGCTGATTGGTGTATATTGTTTAAAAATCCATGTTGTGAGATAACATGTAGTTCAGCGTTTTCCGTAAAAGATTGTCTGGTCCGGTTGGGTGCACGGAGACATATCAACTTTTGGACTGCCAAGTGTTGTTTTGGCAAAAATTTGCAAACTTTTTGAGAACCGAGAAACAAGTCTGTGTGATCTTATGATGATGTATCAGTACATTTTGGCAAGCGATGATTTGAGTGACGATCATTGCAAAACATAGTCTTAATTTAAATTGGTTTTGATTGTGAAAAAGCAATCATGTTGTACTTGTGTGGCAGGAAATGAAAAGTAGAACCTGGAATGGATAATGTAAAAACTTTTGATGGGCTGGGAAATTAAACTTCAAAATGTGTTTGTATATTACATCTTAAGTGTATTTGTCTTGTATGAATAAAGACCATATTAATGTAAAACTGATCGAATCATTTTAAATTTTTAAGATATAGGTCCTCAAATGATCTCTGAATTGGTGCTGACACTGTCCTTCCTTCTGGAGGGGGGCTACTTTTGTTCCCCATGGTCCCATTGTGTGTATTGTAAAGTAGCCACCACTGCAAGCTCACTCCCGGGATGGACTACAATCTCAATTGTTAAACTAAACATGAGATTGTAGTCCATCATGGGAGTGAGCTTGGAGTGATGGCTACTTTACAACACACACAGAGACCATGGGGAACAAAAGTAGCCCCCTTCCAGAAGGAAGGACAGTGTCAACACCAATTCAGAGATGATTTGAGAAGTTAACAGTGACCTTACCCCCAATACCATTGCTGTCTCCTGCACCCCACAGTGGATTCCTAACTGGCATACGTGATAGCAGTAGCTTAGCTGAAAAGATTGCCATGTCCAGCAAAGTGCTGGGGTCCCAAAGAGGACTGAAGACCCAGAGGAGGGGTATTGCATCCCAAAATAGAGACAGATCACCCATTTCGAACACAGATATGGGAATAATAATCCTCCTATAATTGTACCTTTCAAACAATCAAGTTCTAAAGATTTTTAATGCTTTTTTATTGTTGATACAAATTAGTGGTTAATGCAGAACAGCCCACGCTTTAGCTCAGGAGGTGTTTTACCCCGAACTACACAGTAGTTCGGGGTAAACTGTAGCAAATAATGAATGTCACCGTGGATGATAATAGCTGAAACTATGTTACAATAGTGACAAGAGACGACGTGACACAAGGTTAGCCGATGGCTGGTTTGATTTCTTCTCTATCTGTTTCCAGTCGTATTCTCATGTCTCGGTCAGTGGTGTTGTTGTGGTCTCCTATACCGTCGCCGCCACCAGCTCTGCTTGTTATTGAAGTCCTTTTGTTGTCGCTGGCTCATGAATATGTTATATGACTATGTCATGGCTATGTGTGACAGTGTCAATATTACACAAAGGCTCATGGAAACCTCTTTCAAATGTTAACATAATAATGTATTTCTTGATTTGTACAGAGCTGCGTTTGGCGACTCTATTCTATAGTCCGGCGTTATGCATTTGCTGTACTACACTATGTCCCTTAATCATTAAGGTAAGGTGAAGGAAAGGGGACCCGTGTGCCCTGATAACATCAGATCACGTCAAGGAGATGCTGGTGGGACACACGGGTACTTGACCTCAGCTCACTTTACTCTTAGGGGGTAGTTTATAAAAATTTGCATAGCTTATTCGTCGAGCAAAACTGCATGCACATTTGTTCTGTGCGAATCAACCAGCTGTTTCACGACAGGGGCAAAAACGTATTTTCGTAGTGTAATTTCTAACTGCTCAAATGTTCTTCAGTAGGCATATTCATAAAGTACAAAGCAAATATGGGCAGCACAGTGGTGTTGTGTTTAGCACTTCTGCCTTGCAGTACTCTGGGTACCTGGTTCAAACCCCGGGCCTGGACACTATCTGTGAGGAGTTTGCATGTCCTCCCTGTACTTGCGTTGGTTTCCTCCGGGTACTCTAGTTTCCTCCCACACTCCAAAGACATGTTAGAAGGTTAATTGGTTCCTCTCAAAATTGTCCCTGCATGTGACATCGGACCTTAGATTGTAAGCCCATTGAGGACAGGGACTGATGTAAAGTGCTGTGTAAATTGTCGGCACTATATAAATACCTGTGAAAAATAAATGACCACTAGACGAAGCTGAAGATCATAGAACATAAATGCATATTATGGCCACTAGATGGAGCTGAGGAGCAAAGGACATAAATACTTATTAGGGTCACTAGATGGCGATGAGGAGTTCAGGAAATAAATACTTATTATGGCCACTAGATGGAGCTGAGGAGTACAGGAAATACATGCTAAGAATGGCCACTAGATGGAGCTGAGGAGTACAGGTGCTCCTCGGGTTGCAATCGATGGAGTTACGATCTTTTCGCATATACAATAGAGTTTACTGTACAGTGCTGTTCAGTAAACTCTCAGTTATTCAGCACCCATGGGGTCGGTAGGTGTCGGATCACTGTAGTTTCTGGTTGGCTATTGCAATGTGCAATATCTAAGGATATTGCAAATATCCAAGAATAACAAAGTATTGATATGTTGTTATGATTATGTTATGGATAGATATATGGTAAAGAGATAGATAGATAGATAGATAGATAGATAGATAGATAGATAAACATACATGCATTTATGAAAAGAATTACAGATAACATTACTTTTAGATACCACACTGATACCACCACATTAGATACCACACTGATACCACCACGTTAGATACCACACTGATACCACCACGTTAGATACCACACTAATGTCCCAATAGGGATCCTATCACTAGTAATAACTGGCCAGTGGCAGGATCACTTTGGAGGATCCAGTATAAAGCTCACCTGCCTGCATTTGTCATCCCCTATGTGGCTGGAGGAGCGATGGGGTGGTCTCCGGTCATTGACTTTGGTTTTGCAGCATTTTTG